ATAGTTATGTCCATGGTAAAATTCTTATAAATTACTGTTTACTTGATCCATACTACGAATAGAGATATGAAATTTACTTTTCCTAAGATATTTGTTGTGGAGGGTTTTGCTTAGATAACACTGTGTGATCATCTGACACTTCTAGATGGATTATATTGACACATAAATTAGGTAGTTTAACATGCTCGTAGTTTCTACAAAAGTGAATAACAAAAATAAATTATCATCATTTAACTCAACGATGAGCGACAGAAATTAAGAAATACTAACTTTAGTTTTTCTTAAAGTCGTAGGCTTAAAACTATAAATATCAGTTCAAGCTCATTTATCATGTGCAATCGAATGTTTGGACCATTTTCAAACAAACACGTAAATAAGGACTATTCTTAAACCTCAGTTTTCATACTTTTACAGATGGTTTTAAAAATGATTGTCAGCAAACCGTTATATTGTGCATTTTACGCTTTTAAACATTAAAACAAAATATAAAGTTTATGAAGATTATACATGATTTGACTTAAAGCATTCAACTAAAACTGATGATATGGCATGGGTTTATATCTCCCAACTTTTCAGTGATCAGTAAGATATAATTTATAATGTGTATAATATAAACGAAAAAACATTCAAGTTCGCTTCTAACAAAAAGTAAAATATCATTTCTCTATAGTTAGCATTAAAACGAAAACATTGAAATTGTATGCGACAAAAATATTAGATGCTGGATTATTTGACTAAGAAAACGACTGCATAGTCGATGATCTAAAATATGAAGAATAAATGCCAAAAAAAAGAAAATTATAATCCTCTTAAATGGGATTTTCATTTATCTTTGAAGTAAGCATATTTACAAAGTTAACAGTCACGAAAAGTTTGGCATAACTACAGAGCGTAAATAGTATTAGCTTTAGCTAATTTTGAGAGTTGAATGTACGATTAAACAATAATTTATATTTTCATTAGGCAACTTATACATTAATTATATTTGAAATGATTTTCTTGTCAAAATGTAATTTTATTCATTTTTACTTTAAACAGCAGTATTACACTGCAATTAAACTCGACTGGAAAAAGAACTTAGAATGTGCTGTACAACCTTGAGCTCAATAAGTGCTTCCTAGAAAAGAATAAATGCACAGTGATCCATGTTCATTACGTGAGTCGGGAGAACAAAATACTGATTATCATCTTTCTAAAAAAGCATGAGGAGTATTTACTAGCCCATATTTGTCAATTATTTGTTTTGTTTTCAAGATACAAAAAAAAATTTAATGCATATCAGTATTTTAACAAAGTTGAAATTTACAAACAGAATTAAGTAATAATGATGGAAAATGTGAGCGAAATAACGAAACTTGAGAGCGTTGAACATAACTATGTTGTTTTTCTAAATCAAACAGTATAATTAATGGAGAGCTGGATTCAGGAAGTTAACCAACAAGAATGATCAAAGTATAAACTTGAAAGTTACAGAACGATTTTCATACAAATAATGGACCTTTGTCTGAACTCTTCTTATTGAAACAGAAAATTTTCGAATTTGATTGCTTCCGAGGAACTGGCAAAATCAGACTTCCATAATACAGCTAAAGAGCATTAGAGTACAAAACAGGGTGGTACAGCGTGCAATAGGTGGTTTTAGAAGATCTAAGCAGACATAAATGACAGTAACTAAGCAGTTATACTTAAAAATCTAGTTATCATGTTATATATTGAAACAATTCGATGTGGAAAGTAAGTTATAGCCAACATAGGATCTAGAGCATACATATCACTTCAGCTTACCTTACTAAATAAACATGTCGAGATGAAATTGTCGAAAAAAAATTTATAATAGTGAAAGTATTAAGAGCGTCGGTGGCGAAAACAAAGACTAGACACAGAACATGTGATTAGGAGAGAAATATTGGTCTGCAAAAATACAGGAGACTATGAGCTAGCTCAGAAACCTAGGATATAAAGCAGAAACAAGTGAGTGTACATGAGCAATCAGTATTATTTATGAGGACTGGAGTTTCCCACTTTAAATAAATAACACAATAAATGATGATGTAAATTAATTCTATATTTTAAGACAAAGCTTAGGTTGAACTAAGGTAGAATGATACGACCAACTTTACTCAAGTACTGATTGTTCCATTAAGTCGTTCCAAATGTAGCTTGTTTGTAAGCATCATCAAAAATATCATAAATCTTAGAATAAGTGGATCTAGTTTGCAGATGGATTACTCTAATGAACAAACCGAATAAAAACCTAAGATGAATACATTTGTGCCATAATTCAATATGAAAACTCATATCATACTGAAGAATTGCATGGTGAACAACGAGTGAGAAGAAAGTAGATATGGGGTTATTACACAATGACATCAAATGACATAAATTTATTTAGAGAATCCAAAGTCAATGGATAATTCGCTTAAACATTTGTTTTGTTTTGAAAAAATTCTTAAACACCACGGGAAGTCAATCGATTTACATCAGAGTATAAACGTCTCAACCACAGTGACAAATGGGAAGAAAGAGATTTTATGTGCTAACTAAATAACAGTAGATGCACTGAGTGTTTGCCAGAATATTTCTTCCTAGTTACACTAATTCTAGAACAATGAACACTTTTTGAATATGATCACGTTAATATTCCAACAATCAAAAAGATAACCGTAACTAAGATTAAAGTGTCGGTTTGGAAACCCATCTCTCACCATACAAAATAATAATGAATTATTTTTGTATTGACATATTATAGTAAAACTAACAATAAAATGTAATCTGGCCTATATCTTTGTTTTAATCACAATGAACCTATTTTTGAATATAAGTACAGCAGTACATTTAGTCCTTAGATAGAAGGCATTGACTACATACTTTTAGCTACCTTTAGGTCACGTGTCATCAACGTTACAATCAAAGATCCAGTGACAAGTGACTTGACCAGCTTTTATGCCAGAAAGGTACAAATGTTTAAAAGGACGTGTTCAAATGGTATAACAGTGAATTATAGTGTACGTTTACTCTGTACTTGCATACATATGACCATTGAGGGAAGGTGCTCGTGACATTCAAGACATTATAAAGTACTTTTTATTTAGTCAATGCTTTCACCACTATATCCTGACAACACGCAACAAATCTATCGATCGAATCCTTTGCTCTAACTTCTTACACGTTGAATCCTTTCTTGCTGTATATTTGGCAAACTAACCCGTTTCTGATTATTCCATCGTGGGGTTCTTCGCAGTTGCATTGAAGAACCATTTAAACTGACATTCGAAACGGGTCATCAGCAAGCCTAACTGGAATCCCGTAACACAATATGTAAATAATTATAAACCGCTATTAAATAATATGTTTCAAAACAGTTTACATTCAGAATCATCGCTAACAAAATCCATGCTAATATAAGACAGCTGAGGAGCTCTTCCTAGTCTTAGTCCCCTAAAATGGTCATGAATAGTCCATGAGTAAATAAGTGGATTCAAAGCTCAAAATTCCGTGAAGGTGTATAGCTTTGAAAGCTGCACCATCATCGAAGCTATGCTACCAAACATGATCCGATTGGTTTGTGTTACCTGATAGTGGGTAATTCAAACACAAGTCAGAATGATAACACCACTGTGATGTTTTGCACTCAAAAAGTACAAAATGACAAGAATGTTTGTAGCTCTTCCTGTTCCTGCAGACCAATAAACCCCTACAAACTGTTTTGAAGATATTAGATGCAAACAATAGAAAACTAGAAATATGTACTGCTCATCAAAGCACGAGATCGAAAACCCACTCCATGTGAATAGGTTCTTTGAGAACAACAAACGTAGGTGACATATTTCAAGCCAGATACCTAAACAAGTTTGTTTATCTTAAAATGATATTGACAGGAGTCGGATCAAACCCATAAATTACTAGAATTCACAAAAGCCGAACATCTTGTTGGTCTTGTTTCTCGACACGACTGTGTAACATCTTTAGTCTTTACAGTATCGAAATCAACATTTTTACCTTGATGTTTTGGAGAGATGAGCCTACATGTGATAAATGAAGACAATATTTCACTGTTGATCTGTCTAGTGCCTGCAACATAGACTCTGAAATATTGACTAGAAGACATGAAATGTTATGTCTTTTAAATCAAATCGGATCTACACGTAGATTACAGAACGAGTGATCAATGCAGGGGAAATTTTTCTCTTGGTTAATACTGGTCGACTGAACCGTCCAAATAATATATTTATATAGCCATGAATGTACCCTAAATATTTTAGAGATGTTTCAATATAATTTGATTTTAAGGAGCATTGAGCTTCATAGTTAGGTCACCAAAACGTGCTTGCAATTATCCCCATCCACCAATATAAATTCGGTTAATGAGTTCTTCATATAGATTTATGATTAATGAACCTTAACAAACAGGCTAAGGACAACCTGATTATCTGCGTCGATGCATATTAAATTAGTAAGACAAAGTACAAAATTTATAACTAGAATGGCCCGATGCTTGCACAAAACAATGTTCACCCTTTGTAAGGCGTTGTTCGTAGTCTTCTATTCATGATGGTAATATAGTCATCTACAGTTATCGTATTGAGAACAAAATCCAATGAGATAAAATTCAGATAAGGCAAGTCGCATAAAAATTTAGTATACACACCATAGTTTCATGAAAAGAAAAAATTAAATCCATTTAAAAACAACATCCAGACGTAGTTGGTCCAGATGCGAAAAGCTACTTGTTTTACCAGGAATGGTCTAAACGATGCTATGGAGGTACTCTCTCTCGAAGCAGTGGTTAATGTTCAGTTACTATGATGTATTTTATGAGTTACAGTTGTTGAACAAAGCAGCATGTTAAAGTTTCCCTACGACTGATAAGTGGCGATTTTTAAACGGTAGCCCCGTGAAAAAGTTTCTTAGCTTACGTGGTACGCAGATAGCTCAGACTTTATAGCAAGTCGAAGTATTAATGAAGCAAGAGGTTTGTTAACTCAAAATATCAGACTTACGAGGTGACTTTTCGCAGGCCAAACAATGTCCGTTTATAATATCGTCCAAGGAATATGGAATTTCACCAAATTTTTCTTGTTGTAAATTTAAACCAGAACCTGATACTTTCAGATGTTCGGCACATCTCAACACATATTCCGGAAGTTTAGTTGTCCATAAGTCATGAACGGTGAATCCTGCCTTTGCAGGAGCTATCCAGGCTTGCTTTTTATCTGCAAACCTGGTCACTCGAAATCTTGACTGTGGGGATAAAGCTTTAAGATCATCTTCCGTAAGTTCTACTGGAGACGGAGACATTTCGGCGTTTTCAGAGCGCTTCAGAAGAGATTTAGACGAACCTCTTAAGGATCGCTTTTTGAGTTCCGCGTCGCTTTTCATATGTTTTAATCTCTTTCTAGGTAGCTTTTTAGAAATGGTGATACTTTTTGTCTTTTTTGGTTCAAGACTAGCTGATGTCGAAATAGGAGGATGACTTTCTTGGAAATGTTCCTCAGAAGTTGGTGAAACCTTATTTTCTGCGTTGATTCTTTCATGACGAACGCTTAACAACACAAACCCTGGTCTCGTACGACCTCGTATACTCTCAACTATGTCGTTGCTTGGCTCAGAAGTGAAATCCAGTGAACCCCTCCGTATACAGTGATCTATGTCTTTCATAGTAAATGTTTGGGCAGTTGGTCCACCTGAGGACGCATCAGGGACAGCTTGACTGGCTGGGGATGTATCTTCCGTAGAATTATCTTGTTGAACAGAAAATGGATATAAGACGATGGGTTGACTCGGGCATGCGACGGTAACTGGACTTGCTTGGGTTGGTTGACTGATGTCGTCCCTTGGAGTTATGTGTAAAGACAAACCACTTTCGCCCTCAAACTTGGCTTTAACAGGGACCAAAAATGTCGACATGTCTGAATTCTCGTTACTTACAGTTGAAACTGGGTTGGAGCTTGCATAAAAGTCAGAGTTTTTAACAAAACAGGGCAGGAGTTTAGGGTTTTGAGGCTCATTATTGGAGTCTTTAGTTAATATAAGTGTATCTTTAAGTGAGTTATAATGTTCAGCGAGTTGCAACTCAATTAACTTTTGCAGCAACAGGAGTTGAAGGTGTTTTTGAGCATTTGTGTCCACATTACTCGAACTCTGGCTCGGTATATTGTAAGAAACATCGTTGATATGGTTCTTCATACTCGGAATGTTTATCTGGTTTAATTCAAGATCATTTGAACCTACTTCTGAGTTTGGAAAAATGAAGCCATGACATATTGGATGGCCATAACTTTGTGTATCATCGCCTATAGTCTCATTAGAGGCACATGCACGCTGTAGCGATAAGGGCACATTTGTGGGATTTAATGGCATATATATCACATCCTTTGTAGGAATAAGCAAATTAGGTGAAGATTCGAGGGGATATGCATTGAAAGCTGGTTGTTGAGAGAAACTACTTGGACCTTCTTTAGAAGAATCCACGCTCGCTTTCCGAATATCGAAATTATTTAAGCATGAGTTTTGTGAAGAGGCTGTCATCACAAGATCTAAGTGAAATCTAATGACGTATTTCAAATTTTTGCAAGATCCAGTATCGATTGAATTGACTTGAACAAACAAGCTCTCACACTAGTAAGTCCAATCAATGTTCTCGTTTCAGTTAGAGGTCATGAAAGATTTTCTTAACACGCTTCATTACTTGAATAAAGTAACAACCGACATATCAATCTGAACTGCATGCTTATACATGTTATTTCATTATTTGCTTTCTCTATCTGGGTTTCTATGTCCTGATTGACGTATGTCGTATCATTCTTTTGTCCAGCAATGGGTGGAACGACTCTCACTGTCTATTTTATAATTAGATTCCGTCAATTTACATGTATGTAATACCTAAGACGTGTTCATGTTTAAGTATAGGCTTGTAGTGTAGTGCTTCGTTAATCGATCGTCTCGATAACCGTTATTATATCAATCTGAACGGTGTATAATATCAGGAGAAAAAGGGAAGTGGCAACTACATTTTTATTGACAAATAACATAGGCTAGAAGGCAGTAAGCACATGAGTAAATGTTAGCGAGCGAAGAAAAATAACATACATGGGAGATGGCTGGTAAGCCAACTCGTTATAAGCAAGCATTAATCAACATTTATAGTCAGACTAAAATGAATGACAGACATGTGATAGGTACGATAAGAAGGGTGCACACACATACGCTCATATAAAAAAATAGTCAAGATCAATAAGGGAATAATTAACAAGATCAAAATATGACTCGTAACGTTATAGGTGAATTGGCTTGTCCAGAAACTGGAATAAGCTATGTAGGTGTAATGTAGTACACGAAGTTACACTACTCCCCACAGGCTTCATGTACAACAGGTCACTATTTACTTTGATGCTTGCAAAATCATACTGTTCACTACTGTAGTGAACGAGAACACCGGTGGGAACAGTCGAATTTATTTGAACTCAAAACTACATGACGTCTCAGTAAAACCTGAGAATCATAAAGTAAATTCTTCATTGGTAAAATATTGAACAGTTGTCTTGAACTTGACTGCTCCTTTCGCAAACATTAGTCAATCGTATCAGATTTCATTGTTCTGCATTTTCATACCGAATGCTTTCCGTTTCAGTTCTTTCCTTGTCGATCTTCTACTGAAAAACACTCTATTCCTGAATATCGTTGTATACTACATATGCGGATATATGTATCCCACACCGCACTGCCACCATTTGGAATAAAAAAACTAGGGTAAACATAGTGAACAGTAGTAAAAGACAAAGAGACGAATCGTATAAAAAATTCGTCATACCTTTTGTTTTCCCAATCAGAAAATGCAAGAGCAAGATTAAGATGATTAAGGATATCAGGCGTTCAATCAATATACTGTAGTGTGATTTTGCATGCATCAAAGTAAATAGTGACCTGTTGTACATGAAGCCTGTGGGGAGTAGTGTAACTTCGTGTACTACATTACACCTACATAGCTTATTCCAGTTTCTGGACAAGCCAATTCACCTATAACGTTACGAGTCATATTTTGATCTTGTTAATTATTCCCTTATTGATCTTGACTATTTTTTTATATGAGCGTATGTGTGTGCACCCTTCTTATCGTACCTATCACATGTCTGTCATTCATTTTAGTCTGACTATAAATGTTGATTAATGCTTGCTTATAACGAGTTGGCTTACCAGCCATCTCCCATGTATGTTATTTTTCTTCGCTCGCTAACATTTACTCATGTGCTTACTGCCTTCTAGCCTATGTTATTTGTCAATAAAAATGTAGTTGCCACTTCCCTTTTTCTCCTGATATTATACACCGTTCAGATTGATATAATAACGGTTATCGAGACGATCGATTAACGAAGCACTACACTACAAGCCTATACTTAAACATGAACACGTCTTAGGTATTACATACATGTAAATTGACGGAATCTAATTATAAAATAGACAGTGAGAGTCGTTCCACCCATTGCTGGACAAAAGAATGATACGACATACGTCAATCAGGACATAGAAACCCAGATAGAGAAAGCAAATAATGAAATAACATGTATAAGCATGCAGTTCAGATTGATATGTCGGTTGTTACTTTATTCAAGTAATGAAGCGTGTTAAGAAAATCTTTCATGACCTCTAACTGAAACGAGAACATTGATTGGACTTACTAGTGTGAGAGCTTGTTTGTTCAAGTCAATTCAATCGATACTGGATCTTGCAAAAATTTGAAATACGTCATTAGATTTCACTTAGATCTTGTGATGACAGCCTCTTCACAAAACTCATGCTTAAATAATTTCGATATTCGGAAAGCGAGCGTGGATTCTTCTAAAGAAGGTCCAAGTAGTTTCTCTCAACAACCAGCTTTCAATGCATATCCCCTCGAATCTTCACCTAATTTGCTTATTCCTACAAAGGATGTGATATATATGCCATTAAATCCCACAAATGTGCCCTTATCGCTACAGCGTGCATGTGCCTCTAATGAGACTATAGGCGATGATACACAAAGTTATGGCCATCCAATATGTCATGGCTTCATTTTTCCAAACTCAGAAGTAGGTTCAAATGATCTTGAATTAAACCAGATAAACATTCCGAGTATGAAGAACCATATCAACGATGTTTCTTACAATATACCGAGCCAGAGTTCGAGTAATGTGGACACAAATGCTCAAAAACACCTTCAACTCCTGTTGCTGCAAAAGTTAATTGAGTTGCAACTCGCTGAACATTATAACTCACTTAAAGATACACTTATATTAACTAAAGACTCCAATAATGAGCCTCAAAACCCTAAACTCCTGCCCTGTTTTGTTAAAAACTCTGACTTTTATGCAAGCTCCAACCCAGTTTCAACTGTAAGTAACGAGAATTCAGACATGTCGACATTTTTGGTCCCTGTTAAAGCCAAGTTTGAGGGCGAAAGTGGTTTGTCTTTACACATAACTCCAAGGGACGACATCAGTCAACCAACCCAAGCAAGTCCAGTTACCGTCGCATGCCCGAGTCAACCCATCGTCTTATATCCATTTTCTGTTCAACAAGATAATTCTACGGAAGATACATCCCCAGCCAGTCAAGCTGTCCCTGATGCGTCCTCAGGTGGACCAACTGCCCAAACATTTACTATGAAAGACATAGATCACTGTATACGGAGGGGTTCACTGGATTTCACTTCTGAGCCAAGCAACGACATAGTTGAGAGTATACGAGGTCGTACGAGACCAGGGTTTGTGTTGTTAAGCGTTCGTCATGAAAGAATCAACGCAGAAAATAAGGTTTCACCAACTTCTGAGGAACATTTCCAAGAAAGTCATCCTCCTATTTCGACATCAGCTAGTCTTGAACCAAAAAAGACAAAAAGTATCACCATTTCTAAAAAGCTACCTAGAAAGAGATTAAAACATATGAAAAGCGACGCGGAACTCAAAAAGCGATCCTTAAGAGGTTCGTCTAAATCTCTTCTGAAGCGCTCTGAAAACGCCGAAATGTCTCCGTCTCCAGTAGAACTTACGGAAGATGATCTTAAAGCTTTATCCCCACAGTCAAGATTTCGAGTGACCAGGTTTGCAGATAAAAAGCAAGCCTGGATAGCTCCTGCAAAGGCAGGATTCACCGTTCATGACTTATGGACAACTAAACTTCCGGAATATGTGTTGAGATGTGCCGAACATCTGAAAGTATCAGGTTCTGGTTTAAATTTACAACAAGAAAAATTTGGTGAAATTCCATATTCCTTGGACGATATTATAAACGGACATTGTTTGGCCTGCGAAAAGTCACCTCGTAAGTCTGATATTTTGAGTTAACAAACCTCTTGCTTCATTAATACTTCGACTTGCTATAAAGTCTGAGCTATCTGCGTACCACGTAAGCTAAGAAACTTTTTCACGGGGCTACCGTTTAAAAATCGCCACTTATCAGTCGTAGGGAAACTTTAACATGCTGCTTTGTTCAACAACTGTAACTCATAAAATACATCATAGTAACTGAACATTAACCACTGCTTCGAGAGAGAGTACCTCCATAGCATCGTTTAGACCATTCCTGGTAAAACAAGTAGCTTTTCGCATCTGGACCAACTACGTCTGGATGTTGTTTTTAAATGGATTTAATTTTTTCTTTTCATGAAACTATGGTGTGTATACTAAATTTTTATGCGACTTGCCTTATCTGAATTTTATCTCATTGGATTTTGTTCTCAATACGATAACTGTAGATGACTATATTACCATCATGAATAGAAGACTACGAACAACGCCTTACAAAGGGTGAACATTGTTTTGTGCAAGCATCGGGCCATTCTAGTTATAAATTTTGTACTTTGTCTTACTAATTTAATATGCATCGACGCAGATAATCAGGTTGTCCTTAGCCTGTTTGTTAAGGTTCATTAATCATAAATCTATATGAAGAACTCATTAACCGAATTTATATTGGTGGATGGGGATAATTGCAAGCACGTTTTGGTGACCTAACTATGAAGCTCAATGCTCCTTAAAATCAAATTATATTGAAACATCTCTAAAATATTTAGGGTACATTCATGGCTATATAAATATATTATTTGGACGGTTCAGTCGACCAGTATTAACCAAGAGAAAAATTTCCCCTGCATTGATCACTCGTTCTGTAATCTACGTGTAGATCCGATTTGATTTAAAAGACATAACATTTCATGTCTTCTAGTCAATATTTCAGAGTCTATGTTGCAGGCACTAGACAGATCAACAGTGAAATATTGTCTTCATTTATCACATGTAGGCTCATCTCTCCAAAACATCAAGGTAAAAATGTTGATTTCGATACTGTAAAGACTAAAGATGTTACACAGTCGTGTCGAGAAACAAGACCAACAAGATGTTCGGCTTTTGTGAATTCTAGTAATTTATGGGTTTGATCCGACTCCTGTCAATATCATTTTAAGATAAACAAACTTGTTTAGGTATCTGGCTTGAAATATGTCACCTACGTTTGTTGTTCTCAAAGAACCTATTCACATGGAGTGGGTTTTCGATCTCGTGCTTTGATGAGCAGTACATATTTCTAGTTTTCTATTGTTTGCATCTAATATCTTCAAAACAGTTTGTAGGGGTTTATTGGTCTGCAGGAACAGGAAGAGCTACAAACATTCTTGTCATTTTGTACTTTTTGAGTGCAAAACATCACAGTGGTGTTATCATTCTGACTTGTGTTTGAATTACCCACTATCAGGTAACACAAACCAATCGGATCATGTTTGGTAGCATAGCTTCGATGATGGTGCAGCTTTCAAAGCTATACACCTTCACGGAATTTTGAGCTTTGAATCCACTTATTTACTCATGGACTATTCATGACCATTTTAGGGGACTAAGACTAGGAAGAGCTCCTCAGCTGTCTTATATTAGCATGGATTTTGTTAGCGATGATTCTGAATGTAAACTGTTTTGAAACATATTATTTAATAGCGGTTTATAATTATTTACATATTGTGTTACGGGATTCCAGTTAGGCTTGCTGATGACCCGTTTCGAATGTCAGTTTAAATGGTTCTTCAATGCAACTGCGAAGAACCCCACGATGGAATAATCAGAAACGGGTTAGTTTGCCAAATATACAGCAAGAAAGGATTCAACGTGTAAGAAGTTAGAGCAAAGGATTCGATCGATAGATTTGTTGCGTGTTGTCAGGATATAGTGGTGAAAGCATTGACTAAATAAAAAGTACTTTATAATGTCTTGAATGTCACGAGCACCTTCCCTCAATGGTCATATGTATGCAAGTACAGAGTAAACGTACACTATAATTCACTGTTATACCATTTGAACACGTCCTTTTAAACATTTGTACCTTTCTGGCATAAAAGCTGGTCAAGTCACTTGTCACTGGATCTTTGATTGTAACGTTGATGACACGTGACCTAAAGGTAGCTAAAAGTATGTAGTCAATGCCTTCTATCTAAGGACTAAATGTACTGCTGTACTTATATTCAAAAATAGGTTCATTGTGATTAAAACAAAGATATAGGCCAGATTACATTTTATTGTTAGTTTTACTATAATATGTCAATACAAAAATAATTCATTATTATTTTGTATGGTGAGAGATGGGTTTCCAAACCGACACTTTAATCTTAGTTACGGTTATCTTTTTGATTGTTGGAATATTAACGTGATCATATTCAAAAAGTGTTCATTGTTCTAGAATTAGTGTAACTAGGAAGAAATATTCTGGCAAACACTCAGTGCATCTACTGTTATTTAGTTAGCACATAAAATCTCTTTCTTCCCATTTGTCACTGTGGTTGAGACGTTTATACTCTGATGTAAATCGATTGACTTCCCGTGGTGTTTAAGAATTTTTTCAAAACAAAACAAATGTTTAAGCGAATTATCCATTGACTTTGGATTCTCTAAATAAATTTATGTCATTTGATGTCATTGTGTAATAACCCCATATCTACTTTCTTCTCACTCGTTGTTCACCATGCAATTCTTCAGTATGATATGAGTTTTCATATTGAATTATGGCACAAATGTATTCATCTTAGGTTTTTATTCGGTTTGTTCATTAGAGTAATCCATCTGCAAACTAGATCCACTTATTCTAAGATTTATGATATTTTTGATGATGCTTACAAACAAGCTACATTTGGAACGACTTAATGGAACAATCAGTACTTGAGTAAAGTTGGTCGTATCATTCTACCTTATTTCAACCTAAGCTTTGTCTTAAAATATAGAATTAATTTACATCATCATTTATTGTGTTATTTATTTAAAGTGGGAAACTCCAGTCCTCATAAATAATACTGATTGCTCATGTACACTCACTTGTTTCTGCTTTATATCCTAGGTTTCTGAGCTAGCTCATAGTCTCCTGTATTTTTGCAGACCAATATTTCTCTCCTAATCACATGTTCTGTGTCTAGTCTTTGTTTTCGCCACCGACGCTCTTAATACTTTCACTATTATAAATTTTTTTTCGACAATTTCATCTCGACATGTTTATTTAGTAAGGTAAGCTGAAGTGATATGTATGCTCTAGATCCTATGTTGGCTATAACTTACTTTCCACATCGAATTGTTTCAATATATAACATGATAACTAGATTTTTAAGTATAACTGCTTAGTTACTGTCATTTATGTCTGCTTAGATCTTCTAAAACCACCTATTGCACGCTGTACCACCCTGTTTTGTACTCTAATGCTCTTTAGCTGTATTATGGAAGTCTGATTTTGCCAGTTCCTCGGAAGCAATCAAATTCGAAAATTTTCTGTTTCAATAAGAAGAGTTCAGACAAAGGTCCATTATTTGTATGAAAATCGTTCTGTAACTTTCAAGTTTATACTTTGATCATTCTTGTTGGTTAACTTCCTGAATCCAGCTCTCCATTAATTATACTGTTTGATTTAGAAAAACAACATAGTTATGTTCAACGCTCTCAAGTTTCGTTATTTCGCTCACATTTTCCATCATTATTACTTAATTCTGTTTGTAAATTTCAACTTTGTTAAAATACTGATATGCATTAAATTTTTTTTTGTATCTTGAAAACAAAACAAATAATTGACAAATATGGGCTAGTAAATACTCCTCATGCTTTTTTAGAAAGATGATAATCAGTATTTTGTTCTCCCGACTCACGTAATGAACATGGATCACTGTGCATTTATTCTTTTCTAGGAAGCACTTATTGAGCTCAAGGTTGTACAGCACATTCTAAGTTCTTTTTCCAGTCGAGTTTAATTGCAGTGTAATACTGCTGTTTAAAGTAAAAATGAATAAAATTACATTTTGACAAGAAAATCATTTCAAATATAATTAATGTATAAGTTGCCTAATGAAAATATAAATTATTGTTTAATCGTACATTCAACTCTCAAAATTAGCTAAAGCTAATACTATTTACGCTCTGTAGTTATGCCAAACTTTTCGTGACTGTTAACTTTGTAAATATGCTTACTTCAAAGATAAATGAAAATCCCATTTAAGAGGATTATAATTTTCTTTTTTTTGGCATTTATTCTTCATATTTTAGATCATCGACTATGCAGTCGTTTTCTTAGTCAAATAATCCAGCATCTAATATTTTTGTCGCATACAATTTCAATGTTTTCGTTTTAATGCTAACTATAGAGAAATGATATTTTACTTTTTGTTAGAAGCGAACTTGAATGTTTTTTCGTTTATATTATACACATTATAAATTATATCTTACTGATCACTGAAAAGTTGGGAGATATAAACCCATGCCATATCATCAGTTTTAGTTGAATGCTTTAAGTCAAATCATGTATAATCTTCATAAACTTTATATTTTGTTTTAATGTTTAAAAGCGTAAAATGCACAATATAACGGTTTGCTGACAATCATTTTTAAAACCATCTGTAAAAGTATGAAAACTGAGGTTTAAGAATAGTCCTTATTTACGTGTTTGTTTGAAAATGGTCCAAACATTCGATTGCACATGATAAATGAGCTTGAACTGATATTTATAGTTTTAAGCCTACGACTTTAAGAAAAACTAAAGTTAGTATTTCTTAATTTCTGTCGCTCATCGTTGAGTTAAATGATGATAATTTATTTTTGTTATTCACTTTTGTAGAAACTACGAGCATGTTAAACTACCTAATTTATGTGTCAATATAATCCATCTAGAAGTGTCAGATGATCACACAGTGTTATCTAAGCAAAACCCTCCACAACAAATATCTTAGGAAAAGTAAATTTCATATCTCTATTCGTAGTATGGATCAAGTAAACAGTAATTTATAAGAATTTTACCATGGACATAACTATATAATTTTTGTAAATCAAGATGAACCAGCATTGTGTAGTGAAATGAATTCGTTTAATTTCATGCACTCTAATCCATCTACATATGCACTGTTTTGGACGAATAAGTAAAATATTTCATGATTGTAATTTTATATGTAACATGACGATAACCGAACTATGCTATGAAGACTCTTTCGATAACGAATTAGAAGTCGCTCGAAGGATATTCATTGAGAATGACAATTCCATCAAGCTCATTGATAAAAACTTGAAGTCAACAAATGAAATATCTCAAAAACTCAGTATTCTACTACCTATTTAAAAAGAATTATCCTATCGCCCAGAAAAGGTGTCGACTAAGAACCAGGATTGCATTGAATTTTCTTTCCAAAAACATGATTATTGTGTATGGAACAAAAATAGTGTTTAGTAAATCTTACTTGGGCAATAGATCTCCTTTAGTTACATCCAAATGTATAAATCCAGTTACTTGCACATGCAGTAGCATGTATGTTAGAAAAACGTGGAGGGTATTGTCTAAAATAATATCAGAGTATATCCCAAAGAATTTAGTGCTGAATGCCTCTAAACTACTCTGAAATGTCATAGGAAAACATACATTGTTTACTGGTCATTCATTAGATCTTGGTATCGCCTTTTGAGTAATAAATTGACGGAATAACGACAGGCTTCCACTTTACAAAGAATCACCTGATTCTCGTCCTCTAAAACACAATTTACATATAGAGAAGGAACTTTTGTTTCACCTGGCGCTGCCATGGTGATCAACTGAATGTTGCGTTTCCCTTCTCTTTATCTTATCGGTTTTATTTGCTTGACCTCGTCTTTATTTATTCACAACATTTGAATTTTTCATTTTATTTCAGTTTTAATATCATTCTCAATTAATAGTTATTACAATTAGTTATATTATTTCCCCACTATTCAATAACATATTTGACCCCTTATTCATTTAGATATCCAACTAATTTCACTGTTTTCATGCCGTTTTAAAATAATATTACCACTAATAACTTTATTGGTATCATAATTAAAATGACTCTATAATTGTAGTTTTTTGTAATTACTATCACTTACACGACTTTGTTTAACGTAATTATATTAACTTTCACATGTCCGATTATATTATGGTCTCATTCTCGTTTAATCCTTTGATTTATGTATTAAACTTGTTTGAAAATAGAAAGTATTTACCATGTGTTCTTCTCACTAGTAATCCAAATTCATTTTTTACGTGCTACAGATTAAATGACAATCATCAAACATTTCATTTGTTTGTGCAAATCAGTATGTATATGAATGACTTATTGTTCACATGAAGAAGTGGACTCAGTTCATTCATTACACAATGTTTGTCATTCTTGATTTACAAATGTTTATTAAGGGAACTGATTTCATGAAGTTATTTGATTACGGTCTTGGATAAATAAGCATAAAATAATTTCGAATTATATTGATGTTTTATTACTAGTAACTCGTGTAATACGATGCACCAACTACCGGAATCAAGACCAGTGTCGACGCAAAGCTATAGATATAGGGGTACTTACAATAAACTTTAGAGTTCTCATATGTGAATAGTCTTAAAAATATTATTGTTAGATATGAATTTTACATTATATGAGGGTTAAAACAATTAGAGACAGACATGAGAAGAATGAACAAGAACTGGATAGAACTAGAAAAAAGGCTCAGGACAGAGTGGATTGGAGAAAGCTGGTCGGCGGCCTATGCTCCATTGGGAGTAACAGGCGAAAGTAAGTAAGTAGGAGGGTTAAAACAGCAATGGTGTGGGGATTCTTACAATCATCTCATTATTCGTGAATAAGGGTGAACTTGAAAGTCACTTCTTAGATCTATCCCTCTTACTTTAAAATCATCTCAAGATGGTCACAATCACCTTTTGTTGCTATAATTTTTATTCAGAGATATTACGTTTATAACTTCAGTTTAGAAGTTTGTTTGATGAGTAATCGTTGACTTACTCATACTGAAATTCTTCCTTGTTTAGTGTTATACGAATTTATTAATCTAGCCCCATTTATTTATGTCATTGTCTGAAGGTAGACTCCTGCTGAATGACAAGTCATTTCTTCACTGGTTGTATGCTGTTATAGGTTACTGTTTTAAACCAACTAACAGTCTAAACTGTGATGAATTGGATGTTGATTGTCATCTGGTTTTCGGTGATTATCCTGTTAACGCCACTGTATGTATAGATTCATTGCTATTCCTTGGTGATCTAAGAAATCATAAAGCTTGTTACTATAACTTTATCTACTAGCTGATTTCTTTATTTTATTTTATAGCTCATTTTTACTGTTTGGCCTAATCTACCAAATTAGTTTCATTCTATATTATTTTCAGAAGTTACATTTACTCTGCTATGAGTTATGATGATTACTAGTTTTTGTAATTCCATGATATGAACAATATTCAATCCAGTAGGCCATGAATACATTATATATTTTCCACATACAATCACGGTAATCTTCTGAATGACGAAGATTTTTCTGTTTCTTCCTAAAGCTACCGCCTATATTTCACAAAATTACATGTTTCGTTTATCTAAAATTTCCAAATTCCACATGTAAACTGAATACACTGCCAAGGTTGAACTTGATATTTTCAAATAAATTTAGCATTGGGTAGATGGTTAATGATAAATATATTTTTGTGATGCTCCAATGAGTAGAAAATTGTATTTCTGACGTTTCGTGACTTGATGTTAGTCGGGGAGCACAGGCCGCTCACCAGAACAAACATGTAGTTGTGGTTTAATGTTATTTGATAGAACTTATAACAACGTAACAGGTAGTCTGTTTAGGGAAAAGACTTATGATATGAGAAAATTCATTATTAGTTGATTTGAAAAAATCTTATAAAGTATCATAACACTTGACGTATATATAAAGATTCTGTTTTTTCCCTTCCTAACGTTTCACCTTCCATCTGATGTAAACAAAATGATGAGAGAAATTGATAGGACGATCTGACTTGTAAATAGATATTGAAGATTTTTGAACTGTATTTAAATGTTATATAATACTATTTGGGAAGCTTCTCAATAGTCTATCTTCAGTATTATTTATTCTAGCTTGACTGATATCACTACTTACCAATCTTTTATTATTAATTTTGAGGTTTAATATTTATTCTTATGAGTGTAATAAATACAATTATTTTGAATTGTTTGCAAGTCAGGATAAATACTTCACAGCCATATATTTTTAATCTAACATTCAATCATGTGACTTGGGTTAACAACTTTTTTAATACTCTGATTTAAAATAACATTGAACGTATTTAAATACAGAAGGGGGTTTTGTGGAGATTTTAGTAATTTTATATAGTTGAGATCATGAGTCAATTGAAGCTAGACCACAATGGATTGGTTGAAGTTAGATATTAACACCGTTGGATGCCCGTCAGCTCAGTAGTCTATCGGTTAAGTGCTCTGGAGCGAGACTATTGGGTCCTGGGTTCGAATCTCGCGAGAAGGGAGGTGTCCCACAATAAGGGCGAAACGGCCGTTTTCTGCTTCCAGGTTTTCCATGGTGGTCTAGCTTCAATTGATTCATGATCTCAACTATATAATATTAGAATACACACAAAGAAAAAAGAATTGATGTCATAGGACAGAGACAACAGGGTTAAATTTATTATTTATCAAAATTTATGATTAGTTTTATTAGTATCATTTTGAAACATACAAGAAACTCTTCAGGAGGCCGTTTGATTCACAAAATTCTGTGTCGTAAAATAATATAAGGAAAATTCACTACCATATAGTCAATGCTAAGTATTGCCAAATTTTTGTACAAATATTTTGAAAAATGTTCAGAAAATGAATTCCCACTTGTAGCTTGGATTATTTTTCCGACATTTGTAAGCGGTAAAATGATTTTGTGTAACGCATACCTGAATTCGATTGCAGCTGATAGAAGACAATGAGAATAAGAACCGGAACTATAGAATACATAATGCGTGAACTGAACTCATTTGATTTTAGTACAGTGTGGTAAAAATAAAGAAATGTGTATATCTGCTTCTATTTCCGTAACGTGTTTTTTGACCTTCCTCTTTTCCGCTTCGCTTCCAGGTCCAAGTTAGGGATCGCCTCGAATTTGGATACACAGATCTAGTTTTATATTTATTTCCTAATTCAGTAACTTTTGCTTTTTGTTCAACATCTAACTTGTTTACTTCTGACTTGTCTGTTTAAACGAGAGTTCGAATAATCAAACTGTTTTTTGGTTCTAACTTTACTTGGTGACGCTTAATTTTAAATGTAGTCCTTTTTGTTTTACTCAAATAAACCTATTCATAGAACAGAACTATCTCATGAAGTAAAATTGTACGATCAATTCCTATTGTACTTTTTTAAATAATTAATGATCTAACGAAAGTTATACGTAATCAAAGCATATAGAATATTACTCCCATTTTATCTTTAAAAGTCACGTAATGTGTATTTCTCTACAGTATTCGAAGTGGATAGAATATAAATATCCATTAAATGCCAAATATGCAAAAAGAAACAATTACTCTATTTCTATAAAATTCACTTAGTTAACTTTGAAGTAAACGGTAACATAATGTAAAACAATTTGCATATTCAATTTCAATATATACGTTAATCGAATAGAATTAATAACCATATAGATTTTAGTTAGTACCCTACGTAAACGTCTAAACAAATTTTTTTGAAGCAATGCTAAATTGAAAAAGAAAGAAACGTTTCCAAATTGTTTAAGTGTTAAATATTTCACTTGTGAAATATTCAATTCAGAATCAATTCAAAAGTATGTTACTATAGTTTATTATGATGGAGTTTTGTTGTCTGCGCTGCATGGTTTGATCGTGGAGCTTTCATCGTCCTTCTGAACGACATCATCAGCACAAACTTCGGATAGAAGTTATAATAATAATAAAATATTCTAAAAATAATAATTACAGAATTTTCATGATGACCAGTGGAGTTCAAACCACGTCTGTCGTGAGATATCAACTCACTGAAGACAATTGGTGAACGATTGCTCAACTTCGTGGATCAGTTGAAGTTAGACATTAACACCGTTGTATGCCAGCTCAGTAGTCTATCATTTAAGTGCTATGGCGCGAGACTGGTAGGTCCGGGGTGGGAGTCTCGCGAGATGGGATCGTAGATGCGCACTGTTGAGAAGTCTCATAATAGGACGAAACGGTCGTCCAGTGCTTCCATGTTTTCCATAGTGATCTAGCTTCAATTGACTCATGCTTTCAACAATGAAAATACTAAATCTCCACAAAACCCCTTCTGATTTTTTTTGTAACTAAATTGATCATTCAGTAATTAAATGTCAAATTATAACATTTGTCAACTTTAATTCATTTTAATATCGGTAGCTTGAATTTTCCCATTGATGTTTAGGGCAGCAATTGATCAGTCTCCTATTGACATATGTACATCCTCTGTGGATTACCTCAACATTGCTTTCGGTCACAAGCACTAAGAGCTGAGAGGATGATGGTGTCTAAAAGTGAAGTTTTGTCCTATTTGGGACTCCTCAGCTAGATGTACATGCACCACAGGATTGATATTTACTTCGAGACTCGAACCTATCACCACTCGCTTCAAACGCCATCACGTTATACAATGAGCTATTCAGTCCAGATAACCAGTAGCTTGTGCAATGAAATGAAGTTCAATTCACTTTTGTATTGGTTGTTCTAAACTTTCCATTGATGTTTAGAACGGCAACTGATCAGTCTCTTATTCACAACTTTGTTTTCACTACTCACAAAAGCCCAGCATTTCATTACTGATCGTTGTCTTTAAATATGAATCAATGGTTTTAGTAAGAGCGTAAAATCCATGTACACTTATTCCAAATACAAATAAATACCGGTCATAATCGGTTAAGCTATCCAATCTGTCATACTTCACATAACAAATGGCTTTACACAATACACTGACATATTTCTCTCCTTTCATATCGTTTGTTTGAGTATGTTGGTTTTGACAGATATTCAGTTGAAGATCACTATTATTGTTTCAGACATTTTGCTGTTTAGTGTTACATAATTAATCCATTTAAGGTTTTAAATAACGTTGAGCTTAAGTAGAACACTACTTTTCTGTCAAAGTTGTAGAGTTAGTAAACAAAAAACAACATACTGAAATTCTAAATACTTTTCTCAAATATTGAACATTATAACTTTGGAGCTAAGATTTAGGCTAAAATATTCACACTACTTTACTATGAACACGATCCGAATCACAGAGAAAATGTGGAAAGCTTATAAATGTAAATATAAATGTCAATGTAAATAAATGCTTAAGGGCTTATATCTAACTAAACGAATCTTATTTCTACCACTGAAATGATTCTGTGATTCTAATGAGAGAAAACGTGTTTAGTTATTCGTCTAAGTGCTTGTATCTTGGATAAAATTATTATTTTAAACACAGATACATGAAAGAAAAATATTCTTTTCACTAAGTCTCCATTAGCTTCTATGGTTGTGCTTTCAAGATAGGGATTTGGAAGAATAGCCAATTATGAAACAAATATCTCTGTCGACATTTTCGCACCGAAATGTCAGTAATGTAAAATTATTTATGTTCAAATGAATAATATATCATTTCAACCAGATTAACAACTAGTATTTTGTGTAA